CAGTAATCCTGGATGCCATTCACTTCATACTGAAAACGCTTTGAAACATTTTTTAATTAATCAATTCATAAAATTCTTTCTTTTGATTGATCAACGCATTTGCAGTATTAAATGGATTGCACTGATCTTTTTTCTGCAGAATAGTGTTTATGAATGAAACATGAGATATAGGAACACTCGTGAATCGAACGTCTGCACTTATTACAGCAATCATAAAGAATTTAAACTGTGATTTCTACGAGACAAAACGGCGAGGGAAACTTTCGACGTATGCTCACATTAATTAAATTTCGCTCTTCCTATTTTACGGCGGATGCAACCCGATCCTCGGTCGTCTCGTGTTAAACCTCGCTCGTAAAAACGCGAAGCCGCTCGCAGTTCTTTCTCTCTTTTCCCCGCTTTCTTTTCCCTACGTTGATTGTAATTAAAACATAATTAGAGTATGCAAGCCCCGTACTCCATCTCGTTCGTGATGAAGATGCAATGATGGACGAGGAAGTGTTTCTAAAACGAGTATATAGAGATCGTAAAAAAATAATGAAGTATAAATGAGGTCAGATTGCGAAAACGAGACTCGTAAAAATATTACGAAGATCGAGACTTTTACGGGAATAACTGAAATGTATAATCGCCAATTTCAACAATTTATATCCAATTGATTGTCAAATTGTCGAGTAATGTATTTTTGTTGTGCATTACATACCGAGGTATCAAATATACGAGAATTAAAGTAATAATTATTTCTTTCTGCTGCATTACATCGATGTGTGTAGTGATAAGCGTGGTGTAATAACTAAAATACATAAGCAAGATACACGGCGAGCGTTCATTAAACATTTTGCCGTAGCAAAAATAGCGAGCACGGTTTAAACGAATACAACCGGTAACATAACGCCGCCGCCTTGATGTGTGCCGTGAGATAAAATGCCTCGAAGGTTGAAATGTAGACATGAATTAAGACATGGAACATAACATTAAGATTCATGTCTCGCTTATTTATTGTACGCGTAATTTTAGCACGAAGGGCATAAATCTTCGTCCAGAAGCTGGATTTTCGCGGATCGTCTGTAATTTTCAAAAACATCCGAACCATGCAAATTCTTCGAGTTCTGTTTTTGCACTAAGTATATAAAGCCTCGGAAAATGGAGCACGAGGACAATATCACGTTTGTTACGGAACGGCAAACGTTGCTGCAAATTTATCTTCCGGGCGCCAAGGAGACAAAAAGGGGCAGAGAGAAAATAGAAAATATAAATCTTGACGTTGCGATTTAATTTAATTTCCATAGTCGACTAGTCTCGATGTACCAGATTCTCGTCTTGGCGCGGCTGCGCTTCATAGAATTCGTTTATCCCCTGTTTAACTCGTCGACACAATACGATGCGATGCCGTGTGATTGTTTTTATTCGCCAAGTAGAAAATGCGAAAACGAAACATTTGCAAATGCGAATATTTATATCCGCATCAATAATACATAATATCATGCAGTGCGTTCGGTGCATCTCGGTCGCTTTTGCAAAAATCTCGTTAGCAAATATATAGATTCATTTGAGCATAAATCCATAAATGTAAATTTTTTTAAACGATTCATTTTGAATCTGTCAAAGACTTTTTCCGTTAAGGAATCAAAGAACTTTATCCTAATTTTGCTGTTATTGCTAAAAGTTGACTATTAAGGATAAAATACATTTGCTGGCGACGTCCAACTTTATTAGTTAAAATTAAAAATGTATTTAACAATGATTAGCTAAGTAAGTGCAATTATTTCTCACTATCTTAGCCGCGTAATCAAACATTTTATTCGCAATTAGTTCTGGAAGTGCCATTTTACTCTAGCAGAGAATATTTTTCGCTGCAGCATCTAAATTTTTAGTAGATAATAAATTGAACTGAATACTGCCTTTGGCAGTAACGACATTAGCTGTCCCTATTGTAAGGACACATTTCAACTGCCAGCTATATTTTTACCCTAATCTTTTCTCTGCGTGTCTAAAAAAATAGAGAAAAAATTAATCATTCAAATCTGTTTAAAGGAATCTTTTGGTCCTTTGTGATATTTAAATTCCAAGAGCCAAGTATCAAAAATTAGGGACTGTAATAAACTAAAATTTTATACGACTCAAGTTCTAGAATTGGCAGAATGGTATTATATTTGATTCGATAAAACTCCTATCTCTCTACCAAGACAATCGACACGTGAAACACGACGTCTCGATTACCGCTGAAAATCTTTTTCTATCCGCAGGGTTGTTTTCGCCCTGTCCCTTTCTCCTTTTGTCTGCTACCTCCGACCAATCCCGTCGCTCTACCGGGCTCGTCTCGACGAACCAACTCGCATTAATTGCCGAGAGTCACGACATGTCTCCATTACTCAAGAGCTTCGTTAAAGGAAGGCAAAGGGGATAAGAGAGCGCCGCGAGGATAAGGGACGAGGAAGATAAAGGAGGTTGCAACCATGTTTCACCATTATTTTTCACAAATTGGGCTCGCGTCGCCGTTATCCTTAACGAGAATTGAACTGGCCCCAATGGAATGATAAAAAGAAGTTTTTTTCTGTTTATCGTCTTCGCGAATTACGTCCGATTATTAGATCTTTCTATTACATTTCTCGAACGTAAAATCAGCATCCCGAAATGCATTACACATCTCCACGTTCTTTTTAATTTTGAGATCTTAATTTATATATCGCGTACGCTGTCGATCATCATAAAATGTATAGAAGCTGAATGGACTGTACCCTACAGTTTCCATAATTAATCAGAAATTTCCTGCCGACACCGCCGACCGACCGATGCAACTAATAGACCTGCTCCGAATCTCCCTACCAATTATCCCACCGTGTACTAATTAGCATATATGACCGTCGTAACAAAGTTTCCCGCCTCCGACAATGCCGCCTATTGTCTTACGGAAACTTTACGGCTTTAATAATTCGTAAATCTACCTACTGGTTCACGACCGACTTATAACTTGATGTTTCCAAGTCTTGCTTGATTTAGGCAAGATTAGCATTATACTAGAACCGCCGATAATACCATTTTGGTTCCGCTAATCATTTTAATGTTTCCTTTTTTGTATTAGATATATAATACGAAATATTGAAACTGTTGTGAATACAATATAAATAATTTTGACAAATGATACTAAAATAACTTTTCACTAACCGAAAACAGGGATAACAAGTTGTCAATTTGACATTTTTGACAATCTAGTGAAATATCATTGGTGATTCCAATGTGTGTGTGTGTGTGTGTGTGTGTGTGTGTGTGTGTGAAATAAAAAAATTGCAAATCAAAACCAAGTGGATTAGCATTTTTATTATTAGAAAGGATACTGTGGGTGATTTAATATTTAATAAAACAAGCGCGTTCAATATCGAATGCAGGGCAATTTGAATGTAGATTACAGAAAAAGGAAAATATAAAGTGCAAAATTACTCTATTAATTCCAAAGTCGAAAGACTTTGAAAGATTGAGTGTATTAGAGCAGCGGGGTTATATGCGACGGAAAAATTACCGACAAGGTACGCCTCCTGCGTATGAAACTTTAGCAGTTTATTATAGCCAAGTGCCGACATAGTTCTCCCAGCAGTGCGAGAGTTTCAAGCAATGGGACGAAATAATCGCGTTTTTACGATACTCGCGCTGAGTTTTACGAGAATCGGAAACCTCGACGACGCTTTTGTGCGGTAAAACTTGTTCGAATGCCACACGCGTCATAAAATCGACAAAGCCAGTAGTGGCGCGAGTTTTATCATACTATTCGACATACTTTCTGCGTCTAACGTGAACGAGTTCGTTTCTGTACATTCCAAAACTAGTTGCACGTTCACGTATAACTGCCATGAAATAACGTGAATGCTGAATTAAATCTTATTAAAATATTTTATACTCATTATCGTGTCAATTTTTTCCCTTTTCATATTAAATGTGTAGTACAAAATGTTGAAAATTAAAATTATGTGAATAATACAAATAATACTAAAATAACTTTTTACTAACCGAAAACGGCGGGATAGGAAATCACCAATTTTGACCTTTGATAATTATGCTAGCGGCGATTCCCCAATGTTAAATAAAAAAAAGTCAAGACCAAACTAACATTTTTATTATGAAAAAGAATATTATTAGCTTAATATTTAATAAAACAAAATGTACAACATTATGGTATACATAATAATTATATATGTGATATAATAACGTAACAATTATATCAAGAAAGGAGAACGATATCAAACGAAGAAAATTGCATTATAATTATACAGCAATTTATCGTAAATTTGAAAAACAAGATTCGACAAATATGAAAATATCACGGAAATGTATATTCAACATATTGTAAACAACTTGGTGGCTCAATTTTTCATATGTTTTTTTATCCTTAATTCCCAAGCGACGCGACGCTCGACAGAAAGAGGAGGAATCGGCAGGAAGGGTGCCTCGTAATACCCGCCAGTAGATCGGACTTTACATCCGGCTAATTAAGCATTGATAACTAACGAGGTTCCTTTGTGCCGCGGCCGCCGCGGGAGATGAAAGTCCTCGGAAAATTTCAACCGACACGTCGGATTAAATGCTTTAGCGTGCGTGCTCGTCGAACTCGAGCTTGCAACTCGATGTGAACTACGACTTTAATCCCCGTTGACGTGAATTGCTCGAGGCATGTTCCAGTTGGGTATGGATTTTTTTTTCTCTTTCTGTTGCGTAGAAGGGTTCATAAGAGCCCGACGTCAGAAGAACGGAATCGATCGCTCGTTTCCTGCTTTATCATGCGGAGACGATGATTAATTTAACGACTTTCAACAAGCCGATCCTTTTGAGCACGGTGGACGATTGTTTAATTTTGTCAAGGGTGCGCGATTGAGGGCACGCACAGAGGGTATAATGCCGTAAGCATTTTCCCCCTTTTTGCATGCGCCCATTAATTAGTAGCCTCAATTAACAAAGAAATGATCAGATCGAACAAAACTGTAAAACCATATTCTGCTTTTTTGTTGCAGTTTTACCAGCTCCTGGAAGCTAGTCAAGTGGCCAATACTACCCTCACGTACCGCCACGTGACCGTGTTTGCGCCCACTAACCGAGCGTTCCAGAAATACAATGGGAGCACGAAGAATTTGGTTTTGTATCATATGTGTGAGTAGAATGTAACATTTATCTTATAAATAGATTTAAGTCTAACAAACAGATTCAGAGATAGACATCGCCAACTATCTCATTTAAGTGAAGATGTGCAAAAATATAAAGATGATGATTTAGCACCTACTAGCAAATTATATATTAATATATAACTGCAGATTACAAAAACTGTGATTAAATGAAAAGCTGAAGATATACAGTGAGTGAAAAAAATATTCATATACAGCAAATCTTTATTTAAAGTCTTATTTATAGAAAATGAATAATAAATTTCTTTTCGCTTATTGTTAAGCTAATATATTTTAACTATTACACTTTTTAGGTAAAATAATTTTGAAAATATACAATCTATTTTATTCTTTATTAATAAATCGCTAATTTTAATATCTGTGATATCTAATAAAATTTTTAAAAATATCTCTCTAATATACTTTTTGCACTGTATTTATATGGAAAAAACAGTTTTGTTAAAATATTTAAAAATTTAATTAGATCTGAAAATAATTTTATATGAGTTCATCAAAAATATTTATACATAGGTCATTCAATAATATAATTATAAAATAATTATAAAATAATTGTATAGGACACTCAAACTGGTTACTAGAATGTCAAAACTTTTTGCAGCGTCATTCACCATGTTTAAATGTCCTACATAATTATTTTGCTAGTCCAACAAAATTATTTTCAAATCTATTTCTAGCTACATTTTTAGATACTTTAACAAATCTATTCCTTTCGTGTAGCAGCATATTTTATAAACTAACTTTCAGTAATGTATAATAGAGAAAGAGAGAGAGAAAAGAATTATGGTAAGACGATATTTTAAAATCCAGAAAGTACAAATTTGCAAAATCAACAAACGCGAAAATTCCATTGTCTCCACTATTGTATCATACGACATTCTCCAGGATAGGCCGCGTCAGAGCGACACGGGAAAATTCTCGACACGGTCGTAGAAACTCAATTTCCACGGTTTGGTGGCGACCTCGCCCACCTCTCTTCCGCATCTGCATTATTTCCTTTCTTCGTCCGGTTTTCGCGCGTTGGAGTGCATTATCTCCACCGAGTCGAGTTTCGGTATTTCGCTCTTTGATCTCGACGAGGCGGGACGGGCGTGCCCGTGCATGCATCCGTAATGCATCCGTCGAGCTGTAAAGCCGCACCGGATCGGAAGGAGCATTCGATATGCGCCGGACGCTTACGTGCTTTCGTAATTCAGAGCTTCTTCGATAGTCGCGAATAATAATGGCGAACGGTGGCCGGCAATCCGTTATCGACGTATCCGCATTTATGACCGTTCGGCGTCCGTTGGGCATTCATCGATGTAGATCCTGATAGAAAGGGGTGGTACGGAGGAGGAGAGGGATGGAGCGTTATTGCGATTGAGTGTAGCTGACTAATATCGCGCGACGTCAGCGAGCCAATGCGTCAAAATCCCTTCACGTTAATGCATCCTGTTACACTTTATCGTGCAGCAGACGGAAATCGAAGCGAATTCGTGCGGAACAGTCGCATTCTCGCGAAATTGCTTCCGTTCTTGGAAGAATTGGGGAGATAGATTCCTTTAACATTCGTATATCCCGGTGAGACGCCAGAAAAATTCGCGATGCAAATCCGTGAAAATGCGAGACTTCAATTTATTACCAAGCAATTAAAGGATATCTCATTTGTTCTCTTAACAAAGACCACCTATTAAGAGCTTCTGTGTGTATGTGTGTGTATGTGTGTAGATTTTCTTACGAAAAAAAAGAGAAAAAATGTTTCGTACGATACAATAAAATATATACGGAAAGGACGGTTTTGCTGAAGTTTGAAAAATTTTTAGTTATAGACACTGAAAATAATTTTGTTGAATCATCAAAAATAATTATGTACAACGCTCAAACTGATTGTGGCGAAAATGTCAAAACTTTTTATAGCATTGTTTATCTTATATATTTATATATTTATTTTATATATTTATGCTTGACATTCCTACGTAATTGTTTCAGGATTATCACAAAAGAGAGAATCAGGAAAATGTCAAGAAATTTTGTAAAATTTTATGAAAAATTAAAATTCTTGGCTTTAAAGAAATTTAATAAATGTACATTGTAATTACGCAATTTTCGAATATTACTAATTAAAAAATTATAAATGCAAGTGATGTTAGCAACATTAATTAGTAATTTCAATTATTCTCTTAATAAAGTATTTGACGGTTTTTAAATCGATGAAAATACAATATAAAACTAATGAAAATATAATAAAATACAATAAATTAAAAAATATTTTAAAAGGAAAAAAATCATGAAATTTTGTCCAGAAATCAAGGAAAAATTATGGAATTTTAAGATGAGGAGGAATTCATGACATCTCTGACAAAGAATACCTACAAGAAGTTAAAAAAGGAAAGAAACTTTATCAGTGACATTTGACTGAAAGAAAACTCATATTTTCTGCGCCATTTCGTTCTATCTTGATTAAAGTTTTCAGAAGGGATTAAATTTTAACAAGCTCGCCACTTGAAGCTTTAAAAATAGGCAGAGCCATGCGTATCTTTGTCTCATCCGGTTGCGTCGTGGGAGGCGTATCACAAGATCGTCTTTAATCAATGGAGACGCGGCAAACAACCTGCTCAATCAAAATCCTTATTATCCCTAGCGGATTATGGTAAACGCGACGACGGGCCTCGTTAGGCGCACCCTCGTTCGTCTCGCCTCGTCTCGCCTCGCCTCGCCTCACCTCACCTCATCTTGCCTCGTCGTCTTCGCGTCCGCGTTCGTGTTTGCGATGTCGCGCGGTGTGTAATTTCGACGTGCAATGTTTGCGCTGCCACGCGGCGGGATGGCACGGCGGCGAACGCTTACATGGATAGTCGCATCGGCGCCGCGCCGTGGCACGGCGCCATCGATCTTGACGGAGACCCGAAGGCAAACACATCCCACGTAGGACGAACCGCGCGCATCGCACCGTATGTCCCCTCAAGTGCTTACGTTAAACCGGGCGATAAGAAAGGGCCGCGCCTTCGGCCACAACTAGCCACGCCGGGAAATAATTAATCCGATTTGCGCGGCTAAGCCGCGCGCGAGCGCGCGGACTCTCGCACTGGAAAACGAGCGTTTCATACTGCACGATGGGGTGGTAATATTACGCAAGCTTTGCGCCGAACTTGCCGAGTGACGGTTATCGCGCAGCTCAGAAAGTAAAGATATATGGAGAATCGTGAAGTTTAACAGAAAAAGAGATTGCTTTTTATCAGAAATCATTGATTAAAAAGTAGGGGTAGCTAATCTTTTTGTATGGCCATTATAGAACTTCGATATCTTTGGTGTCATTCTGTTGTATAGAATTTGTTAGCAAAAAAGATCACATATATAGAATATATATAATCCTATAATTATATTTTTTCTTTTACATTAAAAGCAAAATAAGTTCTTCTGTTTAACAAAGTTTATCTTTTTTTTTTATTGTGTTTTGGTTTATATTTTTTTAAAGTAAATCATTACAAAGTAGATCAAAACATCAATCTAGAGACCTGTTTTTAGTTCCTATACTAAACTGCGCTAAAACTTTTTTTCACGTCTTCATCAGATATCAAAAATTCTAAAAGTACATACTAATTCAGCTGCAAAAAACAGATCTAAAGATTGCATGTGTTTTGTTTGTTTTCACGTTTAAAACATTATTATATTTTTGTTTTTTGTTTGTCTATCAGATAGAATTCCCTAAAATATTATCCGACAATCAATCGATTACATATTCAAAATCAATTTTATATATATATATATATAAAATTGAAGAAAAATTAAATTAAAAAATATAAATATAGATTCACACAGAACTATGCAAGCACTTAAAATCCAACTATACCATTTAAGGCATTTGTTTCTATACGTTATGTTTCTCGCATGTGTCTTATGAGATTTAATATTATTTATAAATATGAACGTTTAGAATATACTCTCAATCTTAAAATAGTAATAACAAAGACATACAAGATTAATAAGAAAAATATTTGTGAAATAAAAACCGACCGAATTAATGTAACAACATAATATAGTAGAGAGCTCCTTAGGATTGGTCAAAGTTGAATGTTTTGAATAATATAATATTCTTGGTTACATTTCAGATTAATTAAACTCATGAACCAAGAATATTATATTATTCAAAACATTCAACTTCCTAAGGCGCTCTCTACTATATTAGAAATATTTGTATTTCACTTTTACACTCATTGTCAAATAAGTGTATAATATAATGACTTTAATATACACTCAGTCCGCACTAATGCGTCCAACCGAATTCGCTATAAATTTGCTATGAATCCAGAACCGAATCTGAGAACAGGATTTAGATTCGACTTCTACTATTCGGATCTCAGATTCGAATATCTTAAAAAATTCGAATCTCCGGATAATTCGAATTTGAAGCATCACCATTTATTCGTAATTCGAATAAACGGATATCCGGATAGTTTTAAATCCGAATCAATCTTGAAGCCCTACTGTCTAGTGAGCCACCCTAGTTGGCCACCCTTGGACTAAAAGCTCACTTTTATCATAAGCAGATTGGCTCCGCATAATATTTTATTTTGTGGATTGCGATAAAAGACATTTCCTTGAATATTACATTCAGAAAAAGGATCTAGTTATCTACTTGGTTAATTTTAGAGAAATTTCATCTTTCGACAGAGCTACGTCCTCCACAATAAAAGCATAATAACGCTCTTCTACGGTTGTCAACAACGTATTCCCGCTAACTTATTCTTTAAGTCTGCTTTTCCTGTGGGGCACCCCGTTGCGAATTACCTCGACGAATTACCTCGGAGACCACCGTGGGAACTGTTCGAACTAAATAATCAAAGGTTGTAAGGTCGTCGACTCCGTTGACACGAGCCGCTGCTGGATCAATGTTATTCGGCCTGAGGCGCGTTTTTTTCCGCGGAGTACGACAACGAGAGAGGACGAAAGAAGAAGAGTGGCCGATGACGGGCCGCTACTTTTATTCCTCGTCAACTGTTCGTTGAATCGCTACGCCTTATCCTTCTTTTTTTTTTTAGTTTTTTTACGCCGGAGCGACGTATTGGAGAGCAAACAGCTCGAACAAGATTACCACGTGCAAAAGACTTTTTACGAGACGCGTCTTGAAAGAGATTGTCAAGAATTACATTATCTTCCCCCTTGCTCTTCCGCTGCCGTCGTGATGCGCGGTAAATAAAGGACGAGAGAGCAACGGCGATATAGTTGTGCTCGCGTGATGTTGCAGGCTGCATCGATTTACAACTTAAAATTATTTACTGAAAGTAACGAATAAAAGATAAATAACTTCGTGCGTCTCGTTCGCTCCTAAAACCGATGTTTTTATTATATATATGCATTTGTGTAACTATCGTATGCTGCTTGTTAAAAATCTTACTTTGAAAAGAATTTCGCAGTCCAAGATATTTACACTGACAACTTCTTAGACGCTCAAGTTTCCAACGTTTAAAATCCCTGCTTTAATTCCTGCACGTTTAGACACTTTTTATGCACTCTCTTTCGTCAGCTTGCGGTAATAAACTTAAGTCAAATCACGGCGAATTGACTTGGACGCAATTTACTCGGCAGTAACTTCGAACAAATGCGCGAGATTCGGTTCCCTTCTTTCGCGCGAAATTCAGACGAATAGAGAACTCGAGGGGTCGAAGCTGTGACTCCGTCTCCTTTATTTCCCTCCTGAGTGCCGGGGGAAAAGCTCTCTTTATCTCGTCAAGTTGGCGCCCATCTCGCGGCACTTCACCTCGAGCGGCAACGAGAGAACTGACCCCCGCGTCCGTCTCTCGCCGTCCCTCGCGAGTCTGCGGCAATTTTGTACATCGCGAAAAGTTTCACAATTAGTCTTGGAACTTTCATAATTCCGCAGCTTAACCCGCCTTGTTTTGCGGCCGAGCGTTACCGCGGTCGGTTTAATTTATCATTTCACTTCTCGCCCGACTATCGTGGCCTCTCGTCCCAAACGTGCTCCTTCTTCTCGTTCACGTTTATCCTTGTTCGTCCTAGGCAATTTCTCATTCTGAGTCGAATCTCGGGAACGAAGCGTTTTAATGAGATTTTATTCTCCGATTAGGTGGGATGGAACCTTTTTTCTGAACGAAACGTAATCCGCGTCTTACGTTCCTCAAGCATTTTTAATTCGCCATTTTTAACGAGATTTCAATTTTCATACCCTAATTTTAACGTTATATCTTAATTTTTATTATTCTCTTTCATAATTTACGATTGAATAAAAATTGATAATATTCTACGTATCTTGTAGATAAAGATAAATGCAACAACATTTTTTAACTGTGAAACAATTTGTACTAAACGTAATAATGTGTATTACGTAATAAATAGTATTCATATATTAAGCAAATTTATAAGGCAGGATTGTCCTGGACACAAATAATGAAAGGAACAGAGGAAAAAGTTTCATATTGTTTACTTTTTATTATTTTGTTACATTCCGTTTGTTTGTGTTGCTTGAAATCCTCAACAATTTTTGCTCTTCAAACGAGATAAATATATATTCAGGCGTTGAAAAAAGAGAAATGCTCAGTGCAAAAAGTACAAATAGGGCGAACAAATCTATTGATTAGATAAAAAATGAACAAAACATCGAGTCGAATCCAATTCTACTTTTCTGGATATCTTGAAAGTTCATCTTGCTATATAGGAGGATTAATTTTATTCCTAGAACGATCCGAATCGCTTTAGTCGGATTTATCATAAGATCTCGAAGTGGTTTTGCAACGAAAAATGCACAAAAGAATATGAGATAGATGTAACGGACGGTATACAGACACGATTGCAGGAATAACAGCCAAGCAACCGCCAGATATTATCCTATTAAGTAGTAACGTGGATGACTACAGGCAAAGAGTTTAAGGGGTGCTGGTCAGCCACAGTCGCGGCTCGCGGTCGTACCATTTGTTCGCCATTGTAAAGTTACATTGTGGCGAGATAATGTCCTGCAAAACGGCGCACAGCATCAGCGAAGTCGTGCGAGGTTAACAGAGGACATTTCTACGTACTGCACGTTCAGTGCAGTGATTTCGTTGAACTTCTCAAGACTTTTCTCAGATAAAAATTGAAATCTGATCGGAATAAAAAAAGAAAAAGAGAACGGAACAAATTTCAGATCGATTTTCTATATCTTACAACAGAAGGCTTCTGCGTTCTCAATCATGCATGGACAAGTTTGCCTACCTTTTAGGATTTTTCTTATTGAAATGCGAATCCCATTATTTTCAGGCAACGTATTCATCGTTTACCATTAAGAATGCACGGCTTAAATAATGGAAAATGCCATAAATTTATGCAACAATTCAACATCTCGAGGTAGACGAATCCGAAGATACTCGGTACTTTCATCCGGCCACCGCGCCGGTGACACGCGGTGATGACAATGGCGGGTATTTCGACTGCCGGTAAATTTAGTCGCGGAAAGTTAAAGACCTCGTCGCATTGGGGATGGAGAAGTCGTGGGGAGGAACTTGGAGAGAGGCAAAGGCTTGCGCCGTCGGGTGGGTAGGTCATGGGGGAGGCATGACAAAGGAGGACGGTGCGAACTCTGGCTTCTAGGTAACTTAACTGCTCCTCCGGTCTTTGTGCGAAACTTAAAGACGCTGTATAGTCTGGGTATGGCGATGGCGGCGGACGACGGGGTCCAAATTGTATGTACATGTCTGTATGTGTGTATATATATATATATATGTGTGTGTGTGTGTGTGTGTGTGTGTGTGTCTGCCGACGACTTTGAGCGAGTTCCCGTGAGTAGGTGAGAGGGTTGGTTACACTGTGCTCTACGTGCCGGAGAACAAGCCGCTCGCTCGGGCGTCTGCGACACATCCCGTAGCCACAGGCCAGGAAAGGGCGGTTTCGTTTGTCTTGTCGGAAACACACTGCAGAATCCGCGAGGGATGAGAGAGAGAGATTTCACTATTTCCTCTCGGTCATCGAGTTTATTATTGACCTGTTATTGAATCTTAGTGGAGTGTCGGTTATGAGAGTTAACGGAGGGAAACGTGGAACGTGAGTTTTGAGAAGAAGATTCGCTTAATCGCTGATTCGCTCTCCGAACAGATATGGTAATCACTCGTTGAGAACTACGTAATCTGACAGTTTTAAGTAAATATTTACTAAATGTAAATATATTTTGATTTAATAAATACTTAATAAAACTATCAATATGATTTAACCCTCGTTTCTTTATTGAGTAAATATTTATTGAGTAAGGAAACGTTTACTTAGTTAATGTTACTTAAGGAAATGATTACTATTCAAAAAATATACATTAATATTTAGTAATTTCTTTTTCAGTGTCACCTCTCTCTCCAACGTATTGTTCTATTAATCGAAATCTATACTTTAAATTTCTTGCAGAAATCACTCCAAGAGTGAAAATACAACCATCTTTGAAAAAAAGTGAAAATATTTTACTTCTTGAAAAAAAATGACGATCTTCAGTCTTTTTAGAATAAAAATTTCACTTTTTTGAAGTGAGATTTCACTCCTTTGAAGTGAAAATTCACTCTAAAAAGAGTGAAAATCGTCACTCTTTTCCAAGAAGTAAAATATTTTCATTTTTTTTCAAGGATGATTGTATTTTCACTTTCTTGCTGTGAGATTTCACTGTAAGAAATTTAAAATGCACTTTTAGATTCGTTCTTTTAAATAACGCGTTAATCTTGCATTTTTAATCCTAATCTTTTGATCTGTCTGTTACGAGATGTGACGTTTGTAGACACACTTACGGTACTTTACGATAAAAAGCTTCTCATGTACGTAATCGTGCATCATTATACTTTTCATAATATTTGTAAGTACATTATACGACTTTTTCTGCGTATTCTCGTTAGAGAAAGAGATTAAAACCGCGACAGATTTCAATGTACACAGGTAAAGAAAAGTTCAGTAAAAAGAAAAGGCCGCTTTGATGTGTTGGTAATCCTACAGATTTTAATCTCGTTTAATTCCGCAACGTTTTATCGCGTGTACGCTTCCGGCATAATCGTGCATGCGCCACCAGAAATTCCAATCTGCTCCTCGTGGCGGTAGCCGAGCTTAAACCAATTAAGATAAGGCCACGGGGATGAATCGTCTCATGTAATAATTTTTCAAATGTAAGGATCCGCGCTCCGGCGTCAGGTAAAACGAGGACACGTTTTCCTTCGTCGGGTTAAACGCGAGGACTCGTCAGGACGGCGGAACGAGGCGTGAAAAAGTATATAAACGGCCATCGTGTCGCAGCGAGACGTTGCAGGTCGTGTCAGAAAAATCTTAATTATGTCACATAAATGCCAGGACGGTTAAAAAGTTGCAATACGAGTCTGGCGCGATAATGAAATGAGACTTAAATGCAACGGGCCGACCGTTCGTTGTTTTTACAGGTTGTAATTAAAATCTTTCCAGGAGCGAACGCCGTGCCACTCGTAAACTTCTTCCTAATTGCTTTCGCATCTAACGTTGGTTGTTACAGACGCGGCCACGTACTTTATGTTATAATAAACTAATCGTCCAACTGA